ATGGTATAGGCAGGGGTGGTGATGGTGTAGACAAGGGTGGTGGTGGAAGGGAAGGCTTGTTCAGGCCCGGGGTAGGCAAAGATGATGACTCAGGGGCTTCTATACACGTGCATGCAGGTAAACTTGCCCCCACCCTTGACCCAGCATAGTCCCTCACAGGCATCACTGAAGTATTGTGGGTTCTCGATAATGTGGCCTTGGAGCCCGGAGCCTTTGCCCTCAGTGGGGGACAAGGAGCTGCCACCCAATGTCATGAAATGCAGGGACATGGCCAGTCCGTCTTCTGGAGCCAGCACAGCAGGGCCTGGGAAGGAGACACAGCCACAGGTGGTAGGGTGGCCGGTGACCCCACCCGCCTTGTAATCTGCAGGGGGAGGAACAGAGGAGCTAGGGAGCCAGGCAGCCAGCAGGGAGAAGGGAAGGCCCGATGGCCTCTCTATGCCTGGCTCCTGTCCAACCCCAGGCCCCATGGGCCCCCAAAGAACTCTCCCACTGCCCCTCCCCCCAGCTCAGACCTCCCAGACCCACTTAGTGTTTGACTACAATCCAGCCACCAATTAGCATCTGCTACTTCTGAAACTACCCAGCACCAGCCCGACACGCACTCACATGCACAGCCCCACAGCCAGGCCCTCACACCCACAAACACACAGTCCCTAAACTCCATGTGTCCGCTGCCCCCACCCCAGCCCACAGAAGACAGAGTCAGGAAGAGCAGGTAGGAAACAAAGCCAGCAGGACAAGCTGGCGGACAGCCCTGCTACAGCCCCGCCACTCACGGTTGATCCCAAACTTGTTCCTCCGTCCACATTTATTGAGCACAAGGAACAGCGTAGAAAGGAAGAGGCAGGCAAAGACCGCCAGGCCCACAGCCACTGAGACCTGGGGGTGAGGAGGTTAGATCTGGGGCCGCTCTCCATCTCTAAGAGCTCCCCCACAGCAAACTGTGTCTCCATCCTGCATAGGAGCCCAGAGCAGGCTCCCAGCCCCGCCTCTGCCTCCCCTGGGGCCCAGGTTGTGGCTGGGAGGGTGGCTGACGGAGTGCAAGCCAGACTCTAATGCTCTCCGTTCTCTGGTCAGAAGTGACATGCAGATGATCCCCTAGCCCAGCCTCCCGATCCTGTGGACAAGCTTCCACTTCCCATGCTCACCCCAAACGGCGTCTCATCCTTCTTCTCCACCGGGTCTCCCGACGTGCTGTTCGTGTCTGTGGGGACACAGAGCAGGAAGGTGGGCCTGGGCATGTGCCGTGGCTCCTCCAGCCACTCCCCACCCTGGCCCTGGCTGACCCCTTGGGGACCAGCTTAACTGTTCCCTCTGCCCTAGGCTTGGCTCCCGGGACCAGACAGAGCCTGCCTCCACCCTGAGTACTCACCCACTGGCGGAGTACTCACCCACTGGCGAGAAGGAGACTGCAGCGGGAGGGAGGAGAGAAAGCAGTCAGAAGGGGAGGAGCGCAGTGAGTCCCCTTCCCCCTTGGGACTCAGGTCCTGGCTTTGATATGACGGACACCTGGGGAGTGGCTTACGGGACCAGGCCCCAGGCCTTCATGGGCTGCGGGTGGGATGGGGTGGTGGGGTGCTGGACCTCAAGTAAGAAGACGCACATGGCCCTTTTCCAGCTTGGCCGTGGATGCCCTGGTGTATGGCTCTCTCCAGCCAGCCCAAGGGAATGGCACGGCTCAGGGATTCAGGATTCCTGGGGCACGGAGGAGGCAGGGGCAAGGAGGCCAGTACAAAGCTGGAGAACAGAACTCCACTCTTTTCTGTCAGGGACCTGGCTCTCCCACTTCTAGGGTCAGGATCACAGCAGATAGTGGGCCAGGCCTCCCCGGACACCAGGCTATGGACCAGGGTGGAGCCCAGGGAGGGGGGGGCAGGGTTCAGGGTGGCCCTCGCACCAGGAATGGGGTCCTCGGGGTTGAACTCGAAAGGGTTGTCCATGAAGGCAGCCATGATGGAGGCGGAGGCCCGGCCTGAGGGGTTGGTGGCCAGCAGCGTGTAGTTGCCATTGTTGATGTGTGTGGGTTGGTTGAGGCGCAGGCACCCATGTCGCACAGTCTCATTGGCTGCCGGCTCCAGGAACTCGGTGAAGATGAAGCTGGTCTCATTGAGCACGGAGCCATTGAAGAGCCAGCGAAGAGAGGGTGCCGGCTGCCCATCCACCGAGAAGGGGATGCACCATTGATGAAACGCCACTGCCTCATGCAGCTGCACGCTGGCCGGGACTGTGGGCCAGAGACAGTGCTGGTGAGAAGTCGGCAGGTGGAGGGGGGCGGGGCAGCTGGAGGGGACCTGACACGTGCAGGGACTAGTGGGGGTGGGAGGGCGTTGGCAGTAAATCTTAAATAAATCAGGCAGCAAGTGTATGACATTCGGAGGCTTAGAGAAAAGTGGTGGGCCTAAAGTAAGTAAGCAATAGCCCTAGAGATGAGGGGTACCAGCTGATGGAAATTAAACATGGAGTCTTTTGGATAAGTGTCATCAAGGTTAAGAAGATAGGAGGGGGCTAAACATCAAACAAGCAAAAAATAACAGAAGTTTTAAAATGTTTGGAAAGAAGACATGGTTTGAAATAACCCAGCCTGAAAGAGGCAAAAAGCACCTCAATAATAGGAAAATATCTATATCTATAGACCTGTATGCATATATAGTTTATACTGGAATTCCAGCCAGCACTCATGCAATGGAATATTATTCGCAATGAACTAAATGAAAAACTACTCCCATTAACATGGATGAATCTTACAAGTATAATGTGAGCAAAAGGAACTAGACACAAAATAATACTTGAGGTATGATTCCATTTATAGAACGTGCAGGAACAGGCAAAAACTACGCCATATTGATAGGGACGCATACTTGCATAAAATTCCTTTCAAAAGCAAGGAAGTGATTATCACAAAAGTCAGGATGGGGTGGAGGGGAAGGATGGGATTCTGACTGGGGAGAGGAAGGGAGGGTCCCTGAGGTGCTGGTAAGAATAATTATTGCTTAAAGGGTCTAGGTTTTATGCGGGAATCTATGTCTGCTACATTTCATATTAAAAGAAAAGTTACATAATGTAGAAGATTTAAAATAATTTATTGGCAGGCCTAGAGAAATTAGGCAGTGAGCCTAGAGAGGAACTGGGAAGGGCTTCTCTTAAAACTAGTTCGTAGAGTTAGCGTCCTACAGAGGGTCAGGCACGAAGAACTACAGTGGAGCAGGGAGAACAGCTGATGACCTCAGGTAGTAAGACTTGGGCAGAGGGCCAGGGAGAAATCCATCTCCATCCCTCTGGCCTTGATGAGCCCCCAGGCTTTCCCCCCCAAAGGATCAGGTTTTCATGGGAATCTGGGAACAGCTGGGAAGGAGCAGCTGTGGAGACACACTCCCCACCCCTTTCCTCCAGCCCCTCCCACCCTCACATCTTCTTTTCAGGGACGGAGATGAGGGCGGGCACAGGGCAGTCATGGGACTCACAGGAGACGTTGACCTGGACAGAGACCTCTGCCCGGCCCACCTCGTTCTCCGCCCAGCATGTCACATTCTTTCTGTTGAGGTCACTGGTAACGTTGGCCAGGGTCAGCCTCAGAGATGTCAGATTCCCAGATTGCTGTGTCAGGAAAAAGAGGGGGAAATCAAGAAGAGCATCCGCTGGCTTCTGGCTAGAGGTTGGGGGCTCGAGCAAATGTCTTCAGGGACCCCCTCCGGCTCCAGATGGGAAAGAGAGGGGCCTGGTAGGGAGGGGGAGGAGAGAGGGATGGGAGGGAATCTTGTAGAGAACGGGCCTCCTCCGTTAGAGCTTGATCAGACGCTCTCCTGGATTATTTATTTTAAAATGATCTGGAAAATGTAGAACATAACCAATGACCTCAAAGTAGACACAAAATGCCCCGAACCCAAATCGCCCTTCTGAACAGCTAAACAGATGTCAGGGATCCCAAGTATCAAATACACACCTCTCACTGGAGAACAAACGGGGACCTCGCCACCTACTCACTCCCCTTCCCCACGCCAATTCTCACACACTTAGTCTCAGCGCAGGGAAGGCCGGAAGCAAGGAATGGCACTGGGCACAGGGGCGCCAGTTAGAAGCAACGGCAGCAGCATGACCTCATCGGGCAGATGAAGACACAGAGAGAAGTTAGAGAGGCAACGTGACTTCATTCTGCATCATCAAAAGGCTGACTCAGCCCAACCCTTGGCCTGGCTCAGGAGCTGAGCATCGACCTATGAACCAGGAGGTCAGGGCTTGATTTCTGGTCAGGGCACATGCCCAGGTCGCAGGCTCGATCCCCACGATTCTCTCTCATCATGGATGTTTCTATCTCTATCCCCCCTCTCCCGTCCTCTCTGAAATCGATAAAAATGTATTTTTAAAAAATAAAATCAATAAATAAAAAGGTTGAATGGGGTTCCGGTTCTCTTCCTAAGAAACCGTGGACATGTGGAAGTTATGTGATCTTATCGTGCTGAGCCATGGTTTCCTTGTTTTTGTGAGACGATGAGGTAGACAAAATGAACTTTGACAGCTTAGAAAGCCGTTTTCATAAAAACGAGGGGAAGAAGTGAGGTAGTGGACAAATCTCACTGATCTGGAAATTTCTAAATGTGGAATCCCTCGACTAAAGCAAGAGGAGGTGAGGTTTCCCTGGGCTGCCACTGGTCTATGGGAGTTCAAAGGTGCTGGAAGTGCTGCCCAGCCTCTTGTGCAAGCTCCGAGGCCCAGGCTCTGTGAGGACCAGCCCTGCCCTAAGGCCCTCTTTGCTGTCCCATCTCCAAATCACCCTGGAGTGTGGTGTCCTACTAACTTCCCTCTGCATCCTTCATTCCCCTCAAGGTGACGGTCCTCCCTCCCCTCCATTTAACTCAGTTAGGGCGTGACTTTTCTATAGGAACTTTCTGGAAAACATAACTGATAGCGCCCTAACCGGTTTGGCTCAGTGGATAGAGTGTCCGCCTGCGGACTGAAGGGTCCCAGGTTCGATTCCAGTCAAGGGCATGTACCTGGGTTGTGGGCACATCCCCAGTAGGAGGTGTGCAGGAGGCAGCTGAATTGATATTTCTCTCATCAATGTTTCTAGCTCTCTATCCCTCTCCCTTCCTCTCTGTAAAAAATCAATAAAATATATTTTAAAAAAACATAACTGATAGCAAACATGTAAATCTCCCAAAGGGAAAAACAAAACCCTGGAATCCGTCAAAGCATCGCTGATCTCCACAGATAATCATGGCCCACCTCTCGCCTCTGCCTTGTCCGCTTTCCATTACTCCAGTGGCTTTGATCTCTGGGCGGAAGAACCAGTGGCTAGTGGCCCCTCCACCATGTCTGGCTCCCCCTGCTTGGGGCTCCAGTGCTTCCTCCTGCAGCCCTGCTCCAGGGGCCTCCAGCAATCCTGGAGTCGACTCCCCGCCCCAAGTGAGGGCCTCTAAGCTGAACACCCCCGCCTGGGTCCCACTGGCCCATCTCTTCCCAGGGGCTGGATGGACCCTGTGTGTCTACTACCCAGGTGGGGACAGCTTTTGGGGTGGGCACAGCCCACGGTTGGCCCCTCCTGACCTTGTCCACAAGGCCTCCTGAGTCAGCCGTGGCTGCTCTTGACTGCCCGTCGCCAGCCTGAGGACACAGGGCGAGCTGGGAAGGTGCCCAAAGACACATCTGAATGACAGAGATAAAGGCCAGAGAGTGGCCACAGGCAGGCAGGACATCAGAAGGCCATCATGTCCACCTCTTCAATTTACAGATAAGAAAACCGAGTGCAGGCAGATTAAGAGATGTTTCCGAAACTCGCTCTAAGAATTAATGAGTGAGCAAGCTGGGACCAGACCTAAGCCTCCCTTACTGTATGCTTATCACATCCCCAAGGCAACCTGCTTCCAGAATCTCCAGAAAGAGACCGGAAGTCCCCCGAGAATCAGCCTGGCTATGGTACAGGACCACAGACACTGCACCCTCTCCACGGTCCTCAGTTTCCTTATCTAGAAAGGGGGTGGGTGGGAGGGATGGGCTGCAGGGTCCCCCTCAGCTCCAAATGTGAGGGCTCTGTGACCCTCTGTCTTGCAGCCAGAACCATGATCCCAGAGAGGGGGCTCCAGCAGAGCCTGGGGTACCCACGGGGCCAGCGCCCTTCCTGAGGCTACGTGTGGGCCTGGGGCTGCCCCACAGCACGAGCCTGAGCCCCGAGGATCTCAGCCAGCTCTGTCCCTCTGTTGCCCTCTCCGTGCTTCGTATTCGTGGTCTCTGTTCCTGTCTTTGTCCCCTGTGTTCTGCCCAGGATTCCAGGGAGAGGGGCAGGGGCAGCGATGGTGAAGGGCTGCTCACCATCACCGTGGCCGACTCCTCCAACTCTGTGACGATCCAGCCGGTCTCCTTCACGCCCTGCCCCTTCACCTGGCACTGCAGCAACACGTCGTCCCCCACATCCACGGAGGCATTGGGCATCTGGACCTTCAGCATGGGCACGCCTGGTCACCCAGGATGCCCAAGGGGTGTTAGAGAAGGCAGCGGCCTCAGAACCCACCCAAAGCCATGCTCCTTTCCCCAACCTCCTCAGGGACCCTGAGCCCGCCACTGCAATGCTCCCCACCCTTCTGTTTCCCCAGCTCTTGCCAATGCCCGTTCCCCAGGCGTCCTCCAGTGCTGCCCCCGCCCCAGCTCTGCTCTGTGCCCTCTTCCCAAGCACGGAGCTCTCTTTCCCAGCCCCTGGACCACCTCCAGCACCTACCACAGCTGGTGTTGGACATGTGGGCAAAGGACTCCTGCCCGAGACACTGCAGCTTCTGGACGCCGCCCAGTCCCTCCTCCTCCCAGCGCTGCAGCCAGCGCAGGGCACAGGAGCAGAGCAGAGGGTTCCCAGACAGGACTCTGGAGGGTGGGGGGGTACCAAGAGAGTCAGGGGAGGGGAGGGGAGGGGTGGGCCTGAGAGCCACACTGAAAGAAGCCCACAGTAAGAGGGAGTGCAGTTAGCAACGCGGAATGTCTCGAGGAAAAGGAGTGTGGACATGGAAGTCCCTCTCACCCACCAGTAACAAGACATGGGAAGAAACAGAACGCAGAAGGTCAGACAGGTGCCTATGGCCCAGGGCACTCCCTTACCCCGGGTCCCACGGAGGAGGGGCCAGGTGACAAGGAGGGATGGACATTGCCGCCCGGGGAGGCCCAGAGGCCTTAGGTGTCCCACCCACCCCATTGCACAGGCAGCTGCAGCCCCCAGCCTCCTGAGCACACACAGAATTGGTTGTCCAGGCCACCACCCCACCCCACACCCCATCCGCCCCCCCAAGGCAATAAGCCCCTCAAGGGGTAGGCCTGCAGCCTCTGTTTTTATGGGAGGTTCACAGGCATGCAGAGTCCCCGTCTCAGCTCACAGATAAACAGGGAGTCCCCAGAGCCACTCCGCCCTGCCAGTTCCACACAGACACAGTGACACAGTAACACACACACACACACACACACACACACACACACGCTGCTCTTGCCCCTGGAGCACCCACACTCACAGTTCCTGTAAGGAGAGGCCCTGGACGGTTTTCCAGGAGAGAGACTCCAGAGCATTGAAGGAGAGATTCCTGCAGGAGTGGAGACAGCGAGACAGACCCCAGTGAGCAGCGACCTCCCTCCGACCCAGCTTGAGGGAGGGGAGGCGCCCAGGAGCCCAGCCCAGCAGGGAGGCCTTGGGGGTGGGGTGGGGGACAGGTTAGGCTCTTCGAGTGCCCTTCTTCTTCCTGGAACAAGAGCTCACCCCACTTAACCCCCTCCCCAGACTCCAGGGAGGGGGTCCAGAGAACAGCTGCTCCTTCCTCCCCACCCTTGGCCCCAGCTGGCAAAGTGCTGAGGCCCCAGCTGGGGGAGGGGGCTCCATCTGTGCTCTCCTCCCCACAGAGCCCAGGACAGAGGGGGGTGGGGGGCACTGGGCTCCCACACTCTCTTGCCCCCTACCGGATGACGAGGGGTTCAGAGTGCTTCCTCAGGTCCCCTCCCCATTCCTCCTCGGGGACTTAAGAAAGCAGCTGAAAGGGCCTCCAGGCCCCCATCCCCTTGTTGGAGAGATGGA